GCTACGACCTGCATGGGTTCCCAACAACATGCTCGCGCCGAACATCCAAGTGGCTCCCAAAGCATCTGGGAAACTGAAAGGAGGGGGTTCCCGAAGGGGCACTTGCTATTATATACGCCTACCTGGAATGCCACTGCGATATGGAGCAAGCAGCGAATGCAATTCTCAGGTAATCTACCTTCAAGGTTCTTGGCATGTGTTGTTCAAATGTTCAATTGATCGATTCTTGCTTACTGGGGTTGGGAAGCAAGTCGCACAGGTGTTTCCTTGGCTTTGCCCCAAAACGCTGGCTGATGTGCCACACAGGCTTGCGCCATCACGCGCCTACGGATACACGCAGCCCCCAAAAGGCAGCGTACATGCATATATATATAGATATAGATATAGAGATATACACATACACACACACACATATATACATATATATATATATACACATGTGTAGTTTCGCCACTTGAGTTTTTGCCAGTCTACAGTATGTAAGGACTTCGGAGACATCACCCAACACGGAGATGTTGAGTTGACGGGTCGACTGGCGAGAGATGCCAGGCGGTCATCTACTTCCAGCGAGATATCGAGCATGTCTCCAGGCGGGGGCCGCGGGGGGTCCTGTTTTTTCCGGGATTTTTGGAGTGGCAATGGCAACAAGTTTCAGGCCCAGGGTCCAAGTGCCTGAGGATGGCTTTTCAGGGTTACCTCCTTACTTGGTCCCTTTGGGAGGCCTACCTGTTAACCCCGGATGAATAAACCCTTGATTGACCCAATGGGGGGGGTGTCCGATTCCTTTTAGTGGTTGGATTCAGGTTCCACATTTGGAGGGAACACAGCCCTAAGAATGGGAGGGGTTTGTTACTCCTGGGTCAACATGGAGGAGAATCCCCAGCGTTTCCGCCTTGAGTCGTTCCTTGCGCTGTGGGGATCCCGGCGGGCGATGGGCTGGGATTCCAAGGGGAGCTGCAAGCCAAGCAATCCAGCCTAGTGAATCCCTAGGTAACCAGCTATCTTCCTTTTGGTTTTGCAGGGTGGCAAGCCAAATTTAACCTATTTGGTACCAAGCCCTTTTGGTTTTTGCAGGGTTACCTACAACCCGGATAAATAGATCCAACTTACCTACAACCCGGAGAAATAGATCCACTGGGAAGGGGTACCTCCCTTTTGGACCGCTGACGCGTGCATCACGTTTTCGGGCAGAATGGGTGAGAGCAATGCCGCAAAGGGCAGCGTTGGACTCTCGAGCGCGCTTGGGCGGGGATTCCCAGTGTAAGTGGCTCCCAGGAATCCGTTTCGCCCAAGTAGGTAACCCTTCGATCAAGAGTCCTTTTTGCTTTGAAAGGCATGGCAAGCCCTCCCTCTTTGGGTTTTCAAATCGGGTGGTGTCCAGCTGTTGGATACCTACCTCCAGGTAAACGGATCTGGGTTTAAGATTTAACAACCGGCACAGGACCCAGGCCAAGTGAGTTTCTGTGAACGCCAACCTCCCCGTGTCTTCCATACAAAATGCAGTTAAATGAATATTTGTTTTATATGTTCCCCTGGCCTTGAAGGGAATCGATTTCACTGGACATGATGTGTTTCCTTTCTTTCTTTTTTTGTGGGCGCGAGTCCAGCGACTTGAAGGTTGCCGGGTTGGAGGCTAGGGTGTGGGGTGGTTTGGTTGCGGACAGCGAGGGCTTTTTGTCAGTTCGCACGGCCCTACGCCTCCCCGTGGCGACCCAAACTCCCACGGTTCAGCGTCATGTTCAGCTAAAAAAGCGAGCGGAGCAAAACCTACAAATGGCAGGAGTTGGCGTTTGTTTCTATTTGGTTATTTTGTTTTGTGGGGCCGCCTGCAGGATACACCGCAAAAGCTCAGAGAAGCAGGTAGAAACTGTGTGAAGCTGGCAAAGGCGGATTCCGGTTAGTTTTTGCATTCCCGCCCCAAAAAGGGGGGGGGGGTGACCCCTGGAATTCCATATATGATGCCGTCCAAGACATGGAGGGTATTTGTTTTGCTGGTATCCAGGCATAGAGGGTACCGGTGTTCTTGATTTGAAGGGTGTAGAGGGGATGAAGTTTCATGCTTTTTAAGGTATAGAGGGAATGGTTTCTCTTGAGTTCTAAGGTATGAAGGGGATTGGGTTCTTGTTAAGGTATGGCTGTGGGTCAATCCCATGCTACCATTTTGGGTAGGTGTACCATCGATTTTAGTCTATTTCAGTGGGGATTGGGATGTTCACCGAGGGGTACGATTGGGATTTTGACCCATGGCCGTATAGTGTTTCTTGTGTTTTTTTGGGACCAACCGCTGTAGGACCAACCAGCACTTTGTGCACATGTTTACCTCCGGGGAGCCGCTGCATTCCCCGGAGATGCTGCAGCACGCCCTCGCGGATCTGCGCCTCAGCTGGGCGTTTCTTTTCTTTTCTTTTCTTTCGGCCGTCGCGGTGCGTGGCTTGCGTTCCTTCGGGCGCACCTGGATCCAGCTACTCCCCCCCCCCCCCAAAAAAAAAAAAAAACAGGAGACTTGGATCCCGCATAGGCGCGCAGGAAGCGTCCAGTTTGGGGGAACTGGACCCTCAAAGAATCTGAAAGATGTGTGTTTTTCTCAACAGCTGAAAGCATTTTTTTTTTAAACAGGTGAAAGCTTTGCCCAGCTTTTTTCTCAACAGCTGAAAGCTTTGCCCAGCTTTTTTCTCAACAGCTGAAAGCTTTGCCCAGTCTTTTTCTCAACAGCTGAAAGCTTTGCCCAGTTTTTTTTTTATCAACAGCTGAAAGCTTTGCCCAGTTTTTTTTTATCAACAGCTGAAAGCTTTGCCCAGCTTTTTTCTCAACAGCTGAAAGCTTTGCCCAGCTTTTTTCTCAACAGCTGAAAGCTTTGCCCAGCTTTTTTCTTAACAGCTGAAAGCTTTGCCCAGTTTTTTTTCTCAACAGCTGAACGCTTTGCCCAGTTTTCCCTGCTGAAAGGTTTGCCCAGATAGGGTTTCTCCTAAGTGGTCCGGAGCTGGTCGGTGGTTTGCTGCTGGGGATGCCACCAGGGCTTAATGTTGATATTAATCCACCGCAGTTTATTAGTAGGGGGGTGTGCCTGTGTGAAATGGGAAGAATCGGACCCCTTTTGGAGGGGAACGCCATCATATTAGTAAACGTGGTTGATTAGTATGGGGTCAACATCATTCTTCAACCCTGCGGCAAGACTTGATGAACCGGAGTCTCGTTGAGGGTAAAGAAATCTACTCCAAGACCCGCGTCAACATCGAAGTGTGGAGAAATATCCTGTAGGATTTCCATGTTACTCGCTTCTCCAAATATATTCAATGTTCAGGGTACTTTTTTGAAGAACCTGGTTGTCCATGGCAAATACCTCCTTGTTTTAGTCAAGGGTAGACATTCGCTTTTGGGGGGTATCCGACATCCAACCCAAACCAGGCCAAGGTAGTGGTTAGTAACCTCGGCCATATTTCACTTGCAGACCCTACATTCCACTTACCCCCAAACAGGAGCTCACCTTGTCAGTTGTTTGCTCTACTTAAAGGGGCGATCGGCTACTTAGTGGATAACAAGCATGGTTCTAGCCCACAACAGCCATAGTTATAAGTCTCCTAAGTGGGTTATAACCAGTGCCCGATCGCCCGTTCAAGTAGGTTCAGGTACATGTTACTCACCACTTACTACCAAGTTTATCAGTGTGCCTGTTTTCCCCATGGCCACTGGGCATTTGAGACTAGCTTGGGACTTTTTTATTTGCCAGTGGCCGAGACAGTCCGAGATCATATGCTGGGTATGACCTTGCTGGCCCAATCTGTAGAGCAGGGCGCTTGGGCCCCATTAGCAAGAGTGTGTGTATGAATATGAGCACATGCATACATATATTTGATACTTACATATTAAGTGTATATATATATGTATATGTATATGTGTAGAAATGCTTTCTCGCGCAATTGGGTTCTGCGAGGCCTTTCATTTACATCCATAAACTAGGATCTCCAACCACTTCCTCATCAACAACCGCTCCATCGTGCGCTACGAGCTCTCCAGCCCTGCTTTTTGATTGCAACAATGTCGCGCGGGCGCTGTCTCGGCCGTACCATCAAACCCTCGAATTTGCCATAGTGTACCATGTTTGTTTTTTTTTCCACATGGTTGTTTTTTCCTTGCAGAATGGTAGGGGCATTTGCTGCAGCAGATTTTGAGGCATGTACCCATGGCCCCTGCGCAACCCCTGTAAAATCCGACGTGTTCATGTATAAATCCCGATTTTGGCGTATGCCCACTCGGGCTACGTCGGGCATTTGATTCCGGGAAAGGTCGAAGGCCAAAAACCCACGAGGACCATACATAGCCGGAGTCCCCTCTGGCGACAGGAGGAGGTGCAACCCTCAGCCGTGGAAGATTCACCTGGATGGTTGGAAGGCGACAAGCTTTGCCTTTTTTGGAACGGTTTCCTTCACAGCAGTGGAACTCGGGGTCAGGTGGTGTCATGTTGGTTTCTCATTGAACCCTTCCAAAAAGGGGTCCTGCGAGCTGAAAGATCCTTTGCGGATCTCCTTTTTTTCCAGGTTTTGCAAATTTTTCTGCAACTTCCCAGAAATCACCGGATCCTCAAAAGTTGCAATCCAATTTGGTGGAGTCCATTGAAACTGCCGCCGGCAAGCCGAGCTGGCGTTGAATGTTGGCCTCTTTTGGGTGACCTGAAATGCCGATCTCTTGGCCACGCTTGATTTTAGCGGCCTCTTTTGAATCATCACATATCATCACCTTGTGATTTCTGGGTCCAAACGGCTTGCAACTGAGAGCAGGCGCTGCCGGAAACCTAAGGACCGGCTCACGCTCCATGCCGCCTTCCGCGATGGGAGCAGGACCCCATCCAACATCTTCGCAGAGGGATGGACCCGTTTCACCCAGCAACAGGTTGGAAAATCCGGTTACCCCTAGCCTCTCCAAGCGGCTTTTCGGCAGCGGTGGTGGGTGGTTATGAGGAAATGGGAGTGGGGATTCTGGTGGCCCCCTTTGGCCAGTTTCCCATGATGCCGGTCAATTCACCAACAAGCTAGGGTTTTCTGGCAAGGCTCTATATAGGTGTGTCTCAAAATAGGGGATCCCACAACATGCTTGGTTTCCATTTGGTTTCCGTTTGGTTTCCATTTGGTTGGATTTTGATCCACGCCTCCAATTGGCAGTTTGAGGCTCCAGGTGTTTACATTTGGGTCGATTTGTTTTCTCCATTTGTTTCCTCCATTTCTAGAAACTCGGAGCAACTGATCTGAGGAGTTTGAGGGTCCGGGCTTTTGACTTTTGACTTTTTATTGGAGAGGCTCCCGCGAACACGCGACACGCAATTGGTGGATCTTTCTGGGGGCAGATCTTCACACGAAGTCCAGGACGCAGTACGAGGTGCAAGCCGCCCACTGGCTTCAGACGATGAAGTCCCACCAGGAGGAGGGCTACCTCAAGGACAGGGCCGTGCCTGGGTGGGGGGTAGTCCAGTTGCTCCGAATTGGGGGACCGATTTTTGCAGGTAGGTAGGTGGTCTCCTTTGTTTCCGTTTAAAACCCATCCAACAAAAGGGATCCGAGTGTTTTGCAAGTTAAGTAGGCGTCCTTTGTTTCTGTTTAAACCTCATTCCAAAAAGGGATCCGATTCCTATTTTGAGTCACGCCGTGGATTTCGCGCAAAATGTGGAGTCAAAAGCACCAAGCATTGGGGATCCCATGATAATCCCTATGTTGAGAAACCAGACCACAGTTTCCTCTCTCCTACCTCAAAGTGGGTCTGATTCTCACAATCATCTTCTTTCATGGAGTGTTTCGGTGCTCCAGCTCAATTTGCCGAAGCTTCGGTCAACCCACCGGCAAAAAAAACGGCGAACGGCTAGTCTGCGTCGGAGGGGCGTCGGACTGGGTTCGAGCCAGGAAGTCTTCCCCATCATTTTCGACCTGGACAACTTGCGCTGGCCTCAATGGCTTGCAACTGGCCGCGCTTCAAAAACCGGCTGTGGCTCAACAAACCGGTGGCCCAAAATGGCTTGCCCTGGTAAGTGAAAACATGGACCAAAACCTGCGTAACCCCCCCCCCCCCTGTTTAATTTTGAGACATGGCCATTCCGGCACAGTCCTACGCAAGCAATCGTCCATTTTGACAGACGCTAGTACTTCACTCAACCTGCCTGCCATGTGGCTTGGCCAATATTCAAGGGGGATGTTCAATTTATTCACCCATTCCTTTGTTCACATGTTTCCGGCTTCGGGCCATTTTCTGAGGAGAAGGGAACGGCGAGAAATGCAACCTTGGTAGAACATGAGTGTTTGCTATCAGGAATCAGCAATAACACTTGTCCACATGTTGCACATCATTGCCGTTGTTTGTTTTGTTTTTTTCTCGGAGTGCGGTTTGTCAGTTCCCTTAGTGGTGGCTTGGATTGGTGGTTTGGGGATTTGAATCCGTTTCGAGCTTCAAACCGCCGAAGACGTGGCTCCCACGCATCCACCTCGAGCCCAACGGCTGGATCCGCGCGCGAGCGAGCGGATTTGCGGAGGCCCATGCTGCGGGAGATCAGCGCCACTCAGCGCTTTGAGGAGATCGGATATGTCCAGAACCACGAGGCGCCGATGGCCTCGCGCCGATTGCGCCGGTCACGGGTTTCCGGATCCCGGGCGATGGATTCGGCGAGTCCGGGAGTCCGGGCTTCCGTGGGTCGAAGCTTTGATTCGGTCTCTTCACCCAGCGTTCTCGTTAGACACCACCTATTTTTCAGGGGTTTGGCCCATTTTATTGAAGAGAAGGATGCCTGAAGAGAATGGGGAGGAGACAGCTAGACTTTGGCTCACGTGCAACACCAAACCGAATCGAGCTTTGCCGAAATGACCAAAGGTGGTTTTCCAATGTTAATGTGACATTTTGGTGCCGAAAGGTGTTCAGCTTGAAATTCTGGGTCCGAACTGGGCGACTGAGTTGGTCGCCTGGCACTGCCACGAAAACAAGATAAAAGCCGAGGTGGAGACATCTGGCCCCACCCCTCGGGTCCCGATTTGGGGCCTCAAAATGGGTTGTGACCCTCAGGGCCCATGAAAAAATTGGTCGGGTTCTCCATTGGGTCCGGGGGTTTGCGTTGGAGGGGTCATGACCCCTAGGGCAGTAGCTTTCAGCTGCTGGGGCGAAGACGTTGGGAACTCGGGAGACGACGACGTCCACCGACAAAAGATGTTCTTGACTCACTTGCCCAAAACGAATCGACCTTTTAACTTTTTGGCTCCCCTTGGTGGTCCATGTTTAGTCAAGGTTCCAAAAGGTCATCCTTTTATTTCTGGGCCTTTGGCAACTGAGTTGACCGTCCTCTTGACACAGCAAGTAAAAAAAGCAAGCAAAACATGGTTCCAAGTTAGAAGCCCTTTGATTTGATTGAACTGACCAAGAAAGTGCCAGTGAACACATGAGGAAACCATGTAACTCTCCTCTGACCTTGACTACCCCATACCACTGCCTCCAAACTGGGTATATCAGTACATATCCACTGCCTTGGGTGTTTATATATCCCATTTCCATTGCGGTGTGTCTTTTGGATTCGGTTTCACATGGTGGCTTTTGATCGGTTAGTTTGGCGGCTTCCCCGGGTTTGGGGGGGAGGGGTCTGGACCAAGCACCGCCGCCATCCCCATGTTTTGTGAACCCAAAAAAACCGAGCCCGCGAGGAGGACGGAGGCGGAGGCGCGGGTGGACTTCGGTCGAGATCTGGTTTTGTACCTGGAGCCTCCATGACCCTTTCAAAATCTTTCAAAATGGGTCAATGGCGCCATTATTTTGGGTCATGACCAACCACTTGTTCAGGCTCATGGAGACTCCAGGTACTTGGAGTCGTTCCCCTCCCACCCCACTCCTGAAGGAGGGTTCTTTTAGGTTTCCTCAGCCTCCCGTTGCCTTTTTTCCCTTTCTGTTGGAAAGGGCTTCCCGTTAAGACCCACATAGATGTGGAGGGTTGCGCGATCCGCAAATCTCGCACCACGATATGGGCCAGGCTATGTCTCGCACCCAGGTCTGGTCGATAATTCAAATCAGGGAACCCCCAGCCTGAAACCTCAAACTATCATTGAATAAGGAACGCCACCTCAGAGTTTGAGTTGGCGATCACATTTGTTCAGTTCAAGTGTAGTTGGGTGCAGGAAATTTGGTTTCCTTTTGGTTGTCCCGTTTTAACTAATGAATCGTGGGGTTCCCTAACGAAGGGCACCCATATCTTTGTTGACCCAAAAGGAAATCAACTGGGGATGGGTCGAAGTGGGACCTGTTGGATGCAACGGCAGAGAGAGGGAGAGAGAATGATTCATTTCCCCAGACATTCAACATGGGCTCCATTTTTTTGGATTCCTTGGCTTCATCGCAAGGGTTGTCTTCGATATTTAAGGTAGTTGTTTCGGGTCCAGGTCTGTCCAGCAAAACAATGAAAGGATCAATCACAATTGGCCTCCTGTCCAAAAACCATGGAAGGAGGCTAGTTGGAAAGAGACTCAGAAGGGGAACCATGCAATTGGCTGGTTTCATGGCCAGCTGGGTGTTGATCAATATTCCGTTCTGTCCCCAAATGACCATGGATACTGTTCCCATGTGGGAAGTATCATCTTCTTAGCAGTCTTCCGCAATGGTCATCCGCTTTTTTGATCAACCCCCAGATGTGGCTGGTGTGTCGAAAACTTGTAGTGCACCCCCCAATTTGCCTTCCTTCCTTTGCAACCCCAAAAACCGGGGTTTTCTGAAACGACACCCATTTTAAAATTCAACCTGGCATGTTGAAAAGTGCGGCCGCAGCCATATCTGGCAAAGCCCATAAGGATGAACCAAGCGTGGTATTCAAAGGGGCCTAGCTATTCCTTTTTCGGAATAGCTGGAAAGGGACACCTAGCCCAAACACCACACAAAAGAGTTCCCAGCTTGGAGAGTTTCCAGCTATTTGAAGTCTGTAGGTCTCCTGCTTCCATCGCCTGCAAAAAGTGCACCCAGTATACCCATGCAGTTTTTTCAGGCCGAGCCCCCTCCCTTCCCATGCTCCAAGAGTATCCCCAGCTAGGCCGAGCCCCGAGAGCTCCAACCGAGGCTTCCGGTGCCTCTACCACTGGGAGCTGGTCACTGCCTTCGATGGCAGGGCGGCGGGGGACTTTGTGAGCCACCTGGCCCGGGCCCCAAGTCCCGAGTTCCTCCAGGTCCAATTTCGGCGCCGTTTTAATGACGCGTGGCGCAACGATGATGCCTCAAATGACCCCCAAGGAGATCACTCAAATGTGGGGCAAGGACCCATTTGTATGGGTGCCTGGAGTTTTTTTTGGACCCTGCAGAAATGGTTGGAGTCATGAACCCCAAAAGAATGGTTGGTCATGGACACATTGTTGATTCGGGTCCTTAGGGAGACTCCAGGTGGTGAGGGAGCTCATTCTTTCCCAGACCAGTTCTGACAAAAATAAGGCCCAACCCAGTTCTGCACCCGCAATAAACTGGGAGACTCCAAGACAAAATGGGTGTGGCTAAATTTTCAAGAGGTTCTTGGAGTTACGCAGGTTTTAGTCTTGAATTGGGGTTACGCAGGTCTTGAAAAAATGGGCCAACCGCAGGTTTTAGTCTCTGGTTTTTCCTTTGCCGTGCCATGTTGGGATTCCACTTTTTCGAGCCACAGGCAAATTCCCCCAGTTCCGATTGACACGCAGGGAAGGGAAGCCCTTCGAACATTTCACCCGCAGGATGCCTTGGCCAAAGACTGCGCCGCCAAGGACGAAGTGAGATTTCGGTTGGTTGACGGCCTGAGCTGGGAGAGATCGCCAGTGACTTGTTCATTTGCCCAAAACTCACTTCCTGAGTTCATGAACTTTAAACTTTTTGGGGTTGGACCATTTTAGTGGTAAATATAAAGTTTGGACTTTTTTTGGGCCATCCACTCGGAAAGGGAGAAAAGCTGGGCTGTGGAAAGGCACCTGCCATGAAGTCTCCATGACCCTTTGAAAATGGGTCAATGACCCCATTATTTTGAGTAATGACTCTCCATGTTTGAAGGGTCAGAAGGAGACTCCAGGTAATTCTTAGTCCTTACCTTGGGTTATGCAACCATGTCCCCTTTGTAATGCAGCCATAGGGATTATGGAGGATCCAGTTTGAACATTCCAGAAAAGGAAACGAAACAGGGATTCGTACTCAATGGTGTTTCCAGACTACAGCCCAGCATGGGTTGATGTCAAATCTTTTTAATAGGCCCAGGCATGTTTGTCACTGAACGGCATGGGGAGTGTACGGCTAGAGTGAGTCATGATCAATACCCAAAGGCCAAAAGCACGGATCCTGGCTTCCTATTATTCACTGCACAGCAGTAGAGGGATGACATTCGGGCCATGAGACAATTGGAGCCACACCAACACTTTTTGATTTTTCTGTTTTTTTTCTCCGGCGCATTTTATCAGGCTGCCCTCTCGGCGGAAGAGGCAGATGTGACATGAGGACGCCCCAAACACACGTGAAGCTGTTGCAATTTATGCTGGCATTGTGATTTGATTGGTTCGCTTGCAGTAGTTCATTGGAATGCGTACGGTCGACCTTAGGGGCCATGACTTGTTTGTCATAACTCGCCCCTTCCCCAACCAATCTGCATGGTTTGCCCCAAGCAAGCCGAGCCTCAACGATGTATCGGCCACTGACGTACAGATCTTGAACTTAATTTTGCTTCCTCACTCTTATGTTTGGGGAAGACCCACGAGCCCTGAGTTCCAACAAATAACTTTAAACTTCGTTCGGGTTTGGGGAAGATCATTTGAGCAACCAACACGTTTTACGTTTTGGGGCCAACCTGTTGCTCTGGGAAGTGAGCAACTCTGCCTCACCGAAAGCTGCCTGGCTAGAGATCTTGAGCCGTTAGGAGTGGCAGATCATGCACATACTCTCAGTGACTGTGGCCATCTTGGCCGCGCCTGGGCTTTCAGAGTCGCACCTTTGAGTCAAGGTCGCAAGGGAGAACCCTGGACCCTCTGACCCATTTCTGGAAGGAACATCCCCGCCCAAAAAGAAAAGAATACAATGAGGCAACTTGTCGGTTTGAGGGTCCAGCACGGACTTTTGTCATAGGTCCATGGTTTCCGTGAGGAAAGATCTCGCCGGCGGTTTTTTCCGCATGGGACAACCACCTCAGCTCACGCTCACCATGGTAAATCGAGCGATTCCCATCTCGGAGGCTCCAAACGGCCATCCGGTTCCTTGGCCTTTTTGCTTCTCAGTGTTGAGTGGTTGGATTTCCGTATTTAGCCAAAGTGCTTTTCAGTGTTTAGTGTTTAGTGTGCTAAAATTCAATGTTTTAGCGGGGGATCTGAAAACGGACAGCCCAGTCATGTGAGCTGGACCTAAGGAGATTCACCAAGACAAGCTGCCTTCTCGGGCTGTGGTGCCCGTGGGCCCACGCCCATGCCTAGAGACGAACAAACTGCCCTGAAACATGGGGCATTTCCCTAAACATACTGTGGATGGACGAAATCCATTTCGCACAACCGTTCAGAAACCCTGGTTTCTGATGATTCCCCTGTACATACCAACAAACGTTATAGTTTCAACCATGTTTTTCAGGTGGTGCGGGATTTCGTCCATCCACAGTATGGACTGACATCCGATTTTATGGGCAGTTCCTTGAGCCCAGCTTCCGGAGGGAATTTCAGGACCTGGAATCTCCTTCTGACCCTCTAAAAACTGGGTTCAATGACCCCATTATTTTGGGTAATGACCAACCATTTTTTAAGAATCCGGACACCCAGTGCCCTGCTGTCTCTCTCTCTCTCTCTCACGCTTTCGGGGGGTCTCAATTTCTGAGAAAAAAGGAACTTTTGGGTTTGGGAAGGAACCAATCCGTTTTTTTTGTTGGCCCATCCCCCTCAGGAAGTGAGAGGGCAACCCCTGAAATCATCGACTTGCCCCTGATCCTTTGTAGGGTTGCCATCATTCTAGGGGTTGATTCCCCATTCTGTTCAACCATCATTCTTTCCAAAAACCGATCGCTGTTTCCCCAGGGTTTGGGGTGGTTTTTTGGAAAAAGAAGGATGCCTGGGTTTAGAATGGAACAGGATGGGTTGATTTGTTTGCAGCGCTCGAGCCGCTTCCCGGGTACTGAGGTGATCTCCATCCTGCTCATTGCCCGTGGCTGGGACTGGAGCGACCATCCCCCAAAACAAACAACTAGGTCCCGCGATCGGTGCCAACCTCAAGCCTTTCTTTTTTGGTGAGGGTTCCCCTACGAAAAGAGACTAGAGAAAAAATGGGGTACCCTTATTCTAGCCTCTCTACTGGAGGAGCTAGACAACCAAACAAACATTGTGGTTTGTATGTTGGTTTCCCTTCAGAACCACCAGAGAAGGGGTACCCTCAAGAAAAGATACACCTGTTGTCAAGCCTTCTTTCGGTCCGGATGACATTGAAACTTGCAAGTAAGGACAGCAAGGTCAGCTTAATTTCCCGTAATTTCCTTTGAGGTTGTGGTGGGAAACCACACCTTTAAGTTTTAGGACATCATTTTAGACAGCATGCTGGTTGGGGTGGTTAGGGTCCAGGCCTGAAAAGATGCTTGTTGATTCTTTGGAGAATCCGGCGGCATTTTCCAGACCCATGATTGAGTGCGCACCTTAGCCAAGTTGCTGTTTTGTTTAGTCACTGTTGCTGGTTTCTGGGGAAAAGTTCATGGAAACAACACAGCAACTGGCGATTTAGGCAGTCCTCCCTCTTGGGGCATTTGGGGATCCATTGGTTCTGCACAACTGATGCCCAATCGAACCAGGGGCAAGCCACACGACGATGAAATGCAAGAAATATGCTAATTGGCATGTTCGTGGTAACCCAAGGCATGACCAAGCTCATGGACTGCGTCTTTGCCACCCGTGAAACCGTTTGCCCAAATGGTGATTGTACGGGTCGTGAGACCGCTGTGCCAATTTCCCCAAAGCCATCTAGCCAGCCCAAACCCGCCTTTTCAGGGTCCCCCCCTTGAGGGAAAACAGGGGCTTCTTGGACGTGGGTTGGTTGTTTTGACCCACGGTCGGTCGAATCTGTGGTTTCGGGTTCCGATGGGCTAGCCCCTCCCCTAGCCCTCCCTTGGAACTGCCAGTGGGATTCCAGAATTCAGCCTAAAACGGGAACCTTTTCAAAGCTGTTGTTTCGTATCAAGGCTTTTGGCGGGTTCCTTGCGGTACGTCTTGGGTTAGATCTTTACCATGATTATGTTTATTATTACTTTTATTGTTATTTGTATTATTTTTGTTATTATTATTATTATTCTTATTATTATTTGTATTACTATTATTATTATGATTATTATTATTATTTGTTTAGTTGGTTCCTTATGGGGTGAAGTTCAACATAGCGCCCAACTCCAACCATCGATTTGGGTTGCAACATCTCCCCTGTTTTTATCTGCCTTCCCTCCCTCCCCCATGAATCCATAAATCCAACCCCTCCCTCTCCCTCCCTTCCCTCCCCCAACCGCAGTGAATCCATCCCCCCACTCCAAATACCATCTTTTTTCAGGGTATCATGTCGACCCTCCACTAAAAAAGGAGGTATTTACCATGGACACCGATCGGTTTTCAACAAAAAGAACGACACAAAGCGGGTATTTGGAGGTGACGGGGGGTCCAAGCCTCTCCCTTCCCTTTTTCCCTGCCCCCAACCCCCCCCCAGCGAATCCATCCAGATCTAGGCAAAATCCGGCGCTCCGTGCGCGTGATCTCCGCCTTCCGCAGCTCCTCGGTGACCTGGGCGCAGCTCAGCGCCCAAGACATCGCCTCGATGCTCTCCATCTGGCGCTTCGGCTGGGGATTTTTCAAGGGTCAGAAGGAGAATCCAGGTGGGGGGTCTCAATCCAACAGGCTCACCGAAGGCTGGCCGAGGCATATGCCGCTTCAGGGTGGCCGAGAAGAACTCCTCTGGCCTGACATTCGCCCATTGTTGAAGCACCAAAGCAAAGAAACCACTGTGGGTGGGGGTGTTGTCTGTGGTGGGAGTGGGGTGGGTGGGTTGTGGGCTGAAACTTCCCATGAAGGAAGGGGAATTCAGCGACCATACCTGGAGTCTCCTTCTGACGCTTCAAAAATGGGTCAAGGATCAACCATTTGGGGTTCATGACCCAATTTTTAAAGGGTCAGAAGGAGACTCCAGGGAGCGATTTCTGGATCGAGTTTTCCATCGGAGTCCCTTTTTGTTTTTTGATCGAGATCGGATCCCGGGCTCCGTGGTGGTTTTTTTTTGGCTAAGGCGAGGTTTCTGGAGCCTCTGGAACCTCCACGACCCTTTTGGCAATGGTTGGTCATTGCCCAACATGGATCTGTTACCCCTGTTTCTGGGTCATGGGGACTCTAGGCTTAAACCCAAAAGGGTTCCTTCCTTTTTGTGGGGGGGGGGGAAGAACTCGGAGCTGGGAGGTCCGTCGGGGACTCTTGGATCGCTCCGCTTCGTTGAGCGGTCAGGTGGGCCATGGCGCTCGCCTCCAACTTTGTTCAGCTGGTCGGGGGCACGGTTGGTCGGGGGTCGCGGGTCGCGGGTTGCGGGTCCTGGGAGCAACCGGGGAACCTAAAAGGCCCGGCAGCGGGCTCCAAGTTGCACTGCCTAGATTTCGCCAAGTTGCGATCTGTTTTTGTCAGTCGCTGTTGCTGGCTTTTTGGGGTGAAGCTCATGGACCAACTGGCGATCCAGGTTGGTTCCTTGCCCTCCCAGCCTTTTCACGTGGAACCTGTTGAATTCGGGGGGTCCTGGTTTGGACTTGCTTTGTCCTAAGGGGCCGGGTCCCGAACGCCAGGTTACGGCTGTTAATCGGTGGGAGGGGAACGGTCAAGTGTGAGGGTGCACCGCCGGAGAAAGCATGGAGGGAGGCGACACGTGGGGCATCGTAGTGCAGGTTGTAGGGCCTAGCAGCTTTGAGCATGTGTTTAAAGGATGTCCCCCGAAAGTTGGGTGCAGGAAAGCGCTCACCAATATGTCAAGGCAGCTGGGGTTTGGGATTTCCACAGGGCGTCATATAGCCTGGATGAGCGTTAGATCTTGTTTTCGCGTTTGTTTATTGGACGATGGGCGGAACGAGTTGCATTGGGAGGTGGTGAGCGCATGTTGGTATGGCGCTATGCATCCACAGCCAGTGAATCTAGATGAATGCAGCCATGGACAGAGAAATGGAAAATTGACAACCCACAAGCTCTCCATGTGCAGTAGGCTTTGCAATTCGCAGCCTTGAGAGAAGACGACATAGGCCAAGAGGACAAGGCATACAGCCAGGTGCCATGCAGCCCATAACAGCTCAAGCGCTTGTCGATGCCAATGCCGTGAACTCCTTTCAGCCGCGTTTGCGCCGCGAAGCCGCGAAGCCACATCGACGGCAATGGGCCATGTGGATGTAGAAGGAGCCCAGGCCGAAGATGATTCGGGCAAAGCTGCGTCCGAAGGCTCGCTCGAGTCCAGCGAAGAAAGCGCCGCGGAACAGGAAGAGTCATTGCCGCCGCAACGCATCGTGCTGGTAGTGATGATTTGTATCATTCAAGGCTACACTTTGGTCGGCCCGCTGCAGCATGCATTCAAGCAGTCGCTGCACATCAGTGATGACAGCCCTGACGGAAGGATCTTTACCCAAGCCGCTGCACTCGTCCAGTGGTTCAAGTGGAGTATGACGCTGGCGCAGAACTTCTTGCTGCAGTGTCTTTCACCGGAGGCTCGTGTTTATTTGTCAATGGTATGCATGATGCTCGGCTGCCTGATCCCGCCAATCTTCATATATTCACTTGGTCACCTGTGGATTGGCTGGGCTTTCCTTTCTTTTGGCTTGGTGGGGATGTCGCTGGGTGTCTTCGAAGTGGCCTACCTGAATGTGATCACCCCTTTAGGGCCTCTCACAAAGTCATGGGCAATCATCGGATTCCCAGCCTCCTTTGCAATCATAAATGTGATCGGATTCACCTTGGTGTCCTTCGGAATGCCAGTGGCCGTCCTCTTTTGGTATATCGTTTCTTCACTGCTGATGGCATGCTTTTGTTTGACGTGGTTTTGGTTTTGTTCATTTTGGGCTTGGGGGGCTGCAACAAGGGGTTAGTTGTTCAGTACACCAAGTGTTGGGCAGGTTCTTTGCATGCCCATTGGCCTCCTCATCTTTGTAAAGCGGATTGCCCCCAAGCTTCGCACTGGGGCTGAGTCTGGGCATGTGCTCAGAGATAACACGCAGGCCAGGGTCTGGCACTCCGTGCGTCGTTGGTATACCTGGGTGCCACTCCTTTCGCCATACATCTTGGCACATTTCGTGACGGACTTCGTCATGGAAGGGGCTCTTCCCGCAAACTTCAATACATTCAACTCAGACCAGGTGCCGCTGTTCGGACCAACCGACGACCACCTCATGGACAAACACCGGTTCTTCGTGGTGTTCTTTACTTTTGTGGGTCTTAGTGACATGGCAAGTCGACGCTTTGCCTACTGCTTCGCTCTGGATACCTTGTGCAAGAATCTGGCTGCCTTGTGCTTTGGCGTTACGTGCAGCGTGCTGGGCATGTGTCTAACCATCCTTGGCATCGGCGTAGTAAGTTGGGCCTCTGCAGCACTGACCTTCTTTGGTCAGGGCTTTAACTACGCGGTGGCGTCCAAATCCATTGACAAGTTCATCCCCAGAGAGCACAACCTCGCAGCATACTCCCTGTGGATGTTCATGGGGAGCGCCGGTGCGATTGCAGGCAGCACCTTGGTTGATCACATCAGAACCTGGATCTGTCGTGGGGAGGTCTACACCCATCAATGCTTGGCCCATGTCCAAGGGCAGTGAGCATTTAGCGGAACTTTTGACAACCTGCGAGCCTGAAGTCGGGCGAAGGTTGTCCGGTGTGGTTGTACAGCACCAGGCCGTTTTTAACAGGCATGCACAAGTACTTGCCGATCAGTACAGGGACCACCAGAAATCCGAGTTGGATGGTGGCAGGGTCATGATTCCCAGATGGTGCTAACAGGTGCAGATCTGGAATCCTTGAAAGATCTGAAGGCGAAGGTCGGGCAGACGCAGGACTGCTCCATGTAAAGGCTTAGCTCTGGAGAGAGCTGTTTGTAAAGCTTGTGCTTGAGAGCTTCTTCAATCTAGAAGCGGTTTGGATGCGGCGAATCTGTGGATGTAGGATATTGAAAGGGTACTCAAAGACTACAAAAAGTCGAACCAGGGCAGAACAGGTGATTTCCACAAACACACGACGCACCCAAACCGTTTTCTAGATTAAGGAGCTTGAAGCATAGGATGGATGGCCAGTCCTTAGATACCTGGCGCCGTCAAAAGTTGACCTGGGGCTCGCGAGGGTTTGCAAGAGGACCCGAGAGGATCAAAGGCTTCTAAGAATGGACTGCCCTAAGGGTCCTGGTTGATGTTATCTCACTCCCTGAGTTCATGGACGTTATACTTTTTGGGGTTGGACCATTTTGGTGGTAAACAAAAAGTTTGGACTTTTTTTGGTCAATCAACTCAGGAAGCGAGTGGTGGGCCCTCAACATGTGCTGTTTTTTGAGGGCCCTTGAAGGGTCGGGGTTCTCCATTGGAGGGGTGTGCATTGGAGGGGTCATGACCCTCAGGGTGGGAAGATTCCCTGAACCAAGAGGATTTCCTGAAACCCCCCCAACCTTTCTCATACCCACATCCCCCCAGAACCTTGCACTTATACAGTCCTGGAAAGATCCCTGAACCGAAGACCCAAAGCAGCCCGGTTCTGATGCCTTCATCTTATGCCTCATTTGGCTGTGGCTCAAAAACTGGGATCCCCAAAATGGCACCTTGGTATATACATGGAAAGACTATATAAAATGTGCATAACCGCTACCCTCCCACCACTCAACATGGAACCTGACAGGGGTCCCTTTAAAAGGACAATGGTCTTTCAGAAATTCCGTGTCAGGTTTCACGTTCATTGGTGGGAGGGTACCCCATTTGTTTAATTTTGAGGCACGCCCATCTTTTTTTTCAGGGGGACTCTCCCAAACCGGTGGTTTTCCTGTTGGTGTCCCTCTAAAACCACCAACAAAACGGGGGAGCGCCAACTCAACAAGAAGCCGACGAGCCACCCACATCACGTACCTGGATCCCCAGTTACCTGTTTTTTCCAGCTACTTTTGCCAAAATTATGGGCTACTAGTGGGTAAAGTGGCTGGAGAAAAAGGGGCTACTTGGGGATCCAGGTACCATCGATCGAGTTGTTGCCGGGATGTGTTCGGCTACCCCCTACTCAACATACCCGTTTTTTCCAGTTGGTATTTTTGGTTGAAAGCCGATCAGTTTTTCCAAGGTAAATACTTTTTTCAGTAGAGGGTCGACATGATACCAACTAAAAAAAGAGGGTACTCGGTTGCTTTCTGCTCCCCTGCTAAAAGTTTTTAACTTTTAGTGGTTTAATACGGAAAACCCAATAATGTTGGCCAAAAGTTAAAGTCCTAACATCCAAGCAGAATGCACCAAAAGGGTATTTGGAGGCTACGGGGGTACCTCGTTCGCTGTCGAGGTCGCGGCGGTGGAGTGCCTGCGATTGCAGCCGGAGATCGGGCACCGCTTCATGTGGGTGGGCTTCAGCTGCTTCCTCACCTGGATGCACCTTGATGTGGGAAAATAAAAAATGAAAACAAGACTGGGGGGATTCGGTGTTTTTAAGCATGGGAGGCGAAAACGGCGGAACGGGCCGAGCGGGGCCTGTCTTTTGTTCTCCGTTGTCGGGTGATCATGAGTATGGGTCAAAACTGAACCACCAGGAATCGGACCGCAGGCTTTGGTCCATGTTTCCATTTGCCAGGGTTCCATTTGTGGTACCTATTTTTGACTCACAATTTGGGAAGAAGAAAAACGAGACTGGGGAAACGGGGGTTTTCAAGCACACGGTCTGTTGCTGGGGTAGAGAGTCTGTGTAGGCGAACTATGAACCCGAACCTGGAGGCACCTCGGAATCCATCTAGGGGGAAACAATGGATTGGGGGGAAAGGAGCCACAAGAGAACCAAGGTCCTTCATGCATGCATGAGCCTCGAGGTATTTGTCCTACCCCAAGCAACGACCCAAACACTTTTCTGATGTTGCTGTCAGGCGGGGACGTTCAACAACAAAAGCGGTGTCCAACTTTATGTTCAGAGGGTGCCGAAGGACCTCAAAAAGTAGCCCGCCTCTTTCAACCTGATTGCTGCGTTTCACCGGCGTTGGCCCCCTTTTTCTTCCCTACTTGTTTTGGTTGTGTTTTGGTTTGGCGTGTGTGTGCGTGTTCATGGATGTTTGTTGTTGGCGGCTCTTCTTCTTGTATTTCTTTTCTTTGCTTCTTCGTTTTTTCCCCCAAAAGAAAAAAACCCGGGCAAAAACATCCAAGCGCCAAAGGCCCAGAGTGACGGCACGTGAAGCCACGCGCATCTTTTCCAGCGGAGGGTTCCTCGCGCACGCGAGGAACATGATCCAGTACTTCGAGAGCTTCCCAAGCCGCCTGGCTCAAAGGAAATTTGTCGGACCTGGAGTCGGACCTGTCTGACCCCCCAAAAAAACGGGTCAAAGTTAACAGGGCTCCTGAAAAGATCTCCATTTTGCAACCAATTTAAACATGTTGCTTTTTCAACACCAAAGTATAAAGGGAAACCACTATTTACAAGTTGCAATGTTCAGGTGTATAATGAATGTAAGGATCCCTGGTTAAACCAACAGGAATCGGACCGCAGGCTTTAGTCCATGTTTCCAGTTCCATTTTGGGTACCTATTTTTGACCCACATCCATTTTATCTTGATTTTGCCTGGAGTCTCCTTCTGCCCCTTAAATGGTTGGTCATGAACCCCAAAATCATGGGGTCACTGACCCATTTTTAAAGGGTCGTGGAGACTCCAGGTACGCCAGTAGGGGGCTTTTCCGCCTTTTGGGAGGACTCCCGTTTTCCTCTCTTGAGGTGGGAGGAAAGCCTGGTTCAGGTCCATGGGGAAACGTCCGCGTTCGGTCCAGTCGGAAGCCATACCCAGAGGGTGACTTGGTACCTTCTAAGGAGTTACTCAGACCCGTTGGTTTACCCCCTAAAGTTTGAAAAACCGAAAAAAACACATCGACAACAGTGAAGCTACTACATGCCAGAGGGTCCAAGTACCTTCTAAGGAGGTACCAAAAGACCCCTTTTTAGCCCCCAGAAGCCATCCTCAGGCACCAAGGGACCTTTTGGGCATGGGGAGCAGAGGTTACTTCATCGCCTTCCACACCATCGCCCACAGCGGCATGAGGATCCTGCAGCTCTTCTTCTCCGTTGCGCCGCTGCTCGACGAAAATCGAAGAAACACGTGAGTAGCCAGGGCAACCCTGGCTAGCGCTTTTCTTGACTGATGTTGGGTTGGATCTTTAGACTAACTTTTTGGGAAATAATGGTGTTTTCCAGTAAGCCCCCCAAAATAAAACTTTTTGCAGGGTCAACAGCAACCAAGTTTTAGCTTCGAAGTGCTGACCCCTGAGTACTCTTGGACTATTTTGTGGGTAATTCATCAAGGGTACACATCAACGTTAGCAACTGTTTGAAAGAATTCGGACCCCACGAAGCACAAACGTTGTGCTATGAGTGCCTCATCATGGTCCCAGGCGCAAACCAAGAAGCAACTTAGAAGTCGCAGTGCTCCTTTCTTTCCCTGAGACACAAACATCATGTGTTCATTTCCAGCTTCTAAGTGAAGTCTTTTCCAGTCAACTCGTCACCCCTGCCCACACGAACGACTCCGGGTCTCTGAGCAGTGAGTGCTCAGAACCTTTAGGGGAGTTTTGGGGGTGGCCAAAGACCCAAAGAAACACAGCACCCACCCCTCTTTGGGGGAGTTTTGGGGGTGGCACAAGACCAAAAAAGCACCCACCACCCACCGCCCAATTCTTGGTTGCTGTTACCCCCCCGCAAAAAAAAAAAAACCTGAACTTTTTGGGGTTGAGTGGAAAACCCAAATGATTCCAACCAAAAAGTTAAAGTCTAAAGATCCGTTGATCGCGCCGAAGCAGCTTGTTGTCAAAAAGAAGCCTGGGGGCAGAACTCGGCTTTAGATGCTGAAGCAAGCAATCACCTTCAGCGGCATCAATGACGTTGCGCTGTCCGTCCTTGGCTCCAACGCTTCCTAGCTTTGGAGCGGAGAACCAGCTGATGCTTGAGCATGGGGGGACAAAAGTCATCTTGCTGGCCCCTACAAGCCCATGAGAATTTTGGTGTCTTGAAGGTACCCTTGCTGAGGAAACCGAAGGAACGCCATTTGCTTGACCCCGCATGTTGAAAAGCACCCATGTTTTAACACACAGGCGCCAAATAAAGTGTTGGCTGGGCATCCCGGTAAGGCTCGTATCGATTTTCAGTGGGGCTACTTAGTTACTTGCTTTGGAAGGGGCGAGTGAAATTCCCTCGAATCCTGCCCAGTTTCACCCATGACAATAGCTTCCTGGAACAACCAGGCATGGGTTGGGAAGGCAAGCATGTTGGTTCCTCGGATTTTAGGCATCCACAGATTGCAACCTTCGGAAAGCTTGCCCATTGCTTTCAGCATGTCAGACACGGCCAACAGCTCAGAGGAGAGCCACGCCGGAGCAGGTTCTTGAACATTGCAGTCTCCAAACAGAAATTTGGAAAGCTAAGGCTGACACAATGGATGTACATGTTGATTGCGTTTCCTTGTTCTGCGCTTGGCTGATCCCCCGCCATGGACCCCCGCCGCTTTCGCACCCTTCTTGCTGCGGCCCTTTGCGCTGGTGGGCTTTGCTTCTCGCTGCCGCGGCGCTCGATCGCCGCCGCGTCCATCGCGGCGTCGGTCGCGGGCCCGGCGCGCTGGGCGCGGGCGCTCGCGCCGGGGGCGAAGGAAGCGGCGCTGCCGGCGAAGCTAGAGCGACCTGGACGGTAGATGTGTTTGAGGCTCATGGTAGGCCCCTAAATCGGGAGGTTCCTTCTGGTGCACAATGCGTAGTTCCTTTGAATCGTGTTGAAGCCGCGTTTTGAATCAAATGTTGAGCGTCAGTTGATGTGCCCTTCAAACCCACTTGCCAGCAAGCAGGCCATAACTTTGTTGGCAACATCATGGCCCCTGTCCTAACCTGACAGTGGCGACAACAGCTACTACTTGGCCTCCGGTGTGCATCATTTGGAACAACGTGGTTTAGATTTAGGGCATTTGAATCAGGCGCAGTCATTTGTAGCTGATGAAGTTGTGAACGTGCCGCCTGTTTGTACATTTGTATTTGTATTTATTGTATGGCTTGTTCTTTATAGGGTCCATTTTTTCGGGCCACGTCGATTTTCAACCCACTTAATCAGATGTTATCCCTGGTTACAACTGATCCGAGATATCATCATGGTTACAAATTGTTTTGGTGGGACTATGCAAGTTGACCCTTCCGTTTTCTTAGAAACGATTCAGGGACACGACTTCTGTGGATTCACTGGATATGGGTAAAGGGCTACAAGAACCAGACTTTGGACACCCAGTAGCTTCAACTGTGGGTTGAACATCCAAGTTTCATTACCCTCAACCCTCAAACAGGGAACCACTCCGTAACTTTTGGGCAAAATGCCATTTTGGGGCATTTGGGTCCATGTCCGGGTGACCCAGAAAAATGGGTTATTGCCCCGACATCATTGGATAAATTCCCGTTTTCAAGGGTACTTTCTTCGGGTCCAGGTGGTCCCCGATCATCGCCAAAGTTGGCTTTCCCCCATTCTATTCATGGCCACAGTTCGGGGTAATTTCTTCGGGTCCAGGTTGACCTTTTACTCACTTCGCGAGTTCCTGGACAGTTGGTCCTTCTTGGGAGCACGCACCATTTTAGTGGCAAATAACGAGGTTTAGCCACTTGGGAAGTGAGTAATGGATATGGGTCAAAACAAAGCCGCCAGGAATCGGACCGCAGGTTTTGGCCCACGTGTCCATTTACCTATAGGTTCCATTTCGGGTACCGATTTTTGACCCACAGCCATGGCCCAGTTGACCGGCGAGCGAGTCGCATGAGTCGCGAGGCGCTTCTTTGGCCTCGTGCCTGTCTATGCAGTCACGGACCCCGGGGGCGCGCCGGTGCTGGAGAAGTCTCCGCGCCTCGGCTTGGGACAGAAAGTTGGAGTTGATCAGAAGGTCCGGTAAAAATGGGAGGACCCTTGGAGGAAAAAGAACGCTAAACATATGATATGTCCTGCTAAACACTACATGGTAGACGTGTTGCATGGTTATTTGGGGGCCAGGAAGTTTGATCAATCTTATGGGTGTGTCGTTTATCGGAGGTCCTTCAACTTGGTGTTGGTTTCCCGAGGTTTTCCTTGAAACTCAATCCAAAAAGGGTACCGATTCAACAAACAGGCATGGGAAGTTGCGTGTCCACCAAGCATGTTGGAAGATGTCCAATGCACAAATTGAGCTGGTTTGATTCATTACGGGTGGGGGCTCCCTCCTAAACTTTGACCAAACCAGGGCGTTCGATCTCCCAGACGCAGCCCTCCAACATCAACTGTCCACGCGTGGATTTTTTTTCAGACAACTCCGGTCCACTTCATTCCACTTCCATGTGGCACTCATGGAACGATGGTATGTTCTGTCTTGTTGGTGATTCTTTTAGGTGGGAAGGGGAACCACAAAAGGTGCTAGCATGGCTCACTCCCTGAGTGCTTGACTTCCACTTTTTGGGCTTGGTTGCCATTTGGCTGTGGTTGTCAAAACTAATGGGATCCCATCTTGGAGAAGGTGAATTCACCACCCATTTTAGAACCTATTTTAGTGGTTGGATTGGGATGTTTATTGGGGGTACGCGATTTTGACCCATGGCCATTTGAGTGGTAAATCAACAAAGTTCGGGGACGTGTTTTTTCTCACCAATCCACTCGATCAGAAGTGAGGAAAGCAACTATCCCACACACGGGACCTGCTTAGCATGTTTCAGGTCGGAAGGGGGAACCATGGGGGAACCATAAGACTCACCCAGCCAGTGGACACACTTTACACTTTTTTCCTTGGTGGCTCTCCCTTTATTTTAGTGGCCCATAAAGTGTACACTTTTTTGGGCTGGTCACTGGCCAAGTGAGAAAGAGAAAGACCTGGAGTCTCCATGACCCTTTAAAACTGGGTCAATGACCCCAGTATTTGGGAAATGACCAACCATTTTTTAAGGGTCATGGAGGCTCCAGGTACCTTGAGGTCACCGGATCGATCGATCGAATTGGAGGCAGGGGCCCATTGGCCGCTTCTTCCTGGACGACGCGGCAGCCTCTGAGGCGCTGAGGCGGGGGTTGCTATGGGCATGGCTCAGAGCATACTGTGGATGGCATTGAGCAAAAGAGAAACCAAAACGTTCTGCAAACAGTCTGTGTTGTTGTTGTTGTTAGCCGCAAAAAACAGGAACATTGTAATCCTTAATCCTCAATCCTGTCTTCTGTGGATGGCCCGAAATCCATGTCGCACCAAAGACACTCTGGTTTCTGATGAGTCCCCTGTAAATACAGCTAAATCGCCGGTTTTCCTATGGTTTCTCATTTTGAGTCGTGGCCCCAAAAGGTTCACCAACTTGATTCCCGGGTCCTCTGGGCAATGTTGACCTCATATTAATTAACCCTCGTTTATTAGCAGGGGTGTCCAGCCGGGGGAAATGTGGGGAATCATCACGTTTGTAGGGGCCCCCGCTCGCCATATAAGTAAGCAGGGGTTTGGCAACGGAGCTTTGAACTTTAACTTTTTGAATGGAAGAGGTCGGATTTGGAACCCCTTAAGTTTAACACTTTTGCAGAGGGGTCTCGCTGGTTGACATTATCAATGGGGTGGACCGAATGGGATGGACCCTCAATTGGTTTCATTTTTTGGAGCTTCATTCCAGTGAGTCAAATTTCCTATAGTAGATAGCCCAGGGAAGCGCCGTTCCAAGACCACAAGGACAATGGCGAAGGGATACCTACTACAGGTAAAATTGTCCACCTTCTTACAGGGGTCTCCATATGGCACTTAAACATCACCATTGCCCCGCGTAAAATGTAAGGTGAACGTGTCTTCAAGTAGGGGTGAATTTATTGGGCAACTCTTGGGCATGCCTGCACTTAGTCAGCATGTTTTTGTTTTTTTTAATATATCAAGTTGATGAGTCCGAGATCCTTGTGTGGGGAATCTTACTAAGTACCTGAACCTTTTGCCCCCGCAAATGTGGGGCAAACCCAAAACGAAGCATACTAACAGGTAGTTTGATGAAGGATCCTCAAAGCATACCAACAAAGCCACAAAGCATACCCTCAAATCCACCTACTAACAGGCAGTTTGAGGCTCCAGGCCTACGAATCTCCAAGGCCCAAACCGGGTTTGATCCAGGTCCAAATTCCACAGCTTCGGAAGGCAGTGATCAGAGGCATGTCTGATTCCAGGATTTGGAGCGATGGTTCCTCTTTTCTTGGTGGCGGGTGGGGGTGGGGTGGGGGGTGGGTGGGGAGTGGGGTGGGGAGCGCGGGGTGGGGTGGGGAGGTGGTGGGGGGTAGCATCTTGCCGTAGGGGAAGTTCCCTCGAGCGTCGGTATGCGTTTTGTCCTCTAACACATGGGTTCAGATGGCTCGAGCCAATCATGCGCATTTGGCTTCTTTTTTTACATAGGAACCCGAGCCCATTTATAATACAACACGTGTCCAACGAGTCACCCAAACCATTTCTTTGGCGTTTGAGGGTCTCAAATACATTATTTCTGGCTCATCCGAGGGTCCGATTTCTTGATTCATAGAATTTCTTAGCACACCGGAGCGTAGTCCTTTTCATGGTTGCTGTTGGGAAACATTTTTTCCATGTTTGATCTTATTGTGGTTTAGTGGTTCGAAATCCCACCTAACTTCTAAAAACCATGTGCTCTCTCTTCCAACGTCAACCAAGTTTCTGTGGCAGTCCCCCGTTCTGAACGCGGCAAGTCGATCGATCCGAAGTCCGAAGTCCCTCGAAACTTCCTCGCGAGGCGCCTGAAGAGCGATGGAGAGGGGAAGCTGGAAGTGAGAAGGCGCGGAGGGGTTTGGTCGGATTTTTCGGCCCAGCCGGTTTGGATCTTAGGAATTGGGTCTAGTTTGAAACACCTGATTTTGTTTAATCGCCTGCCTTTCAGATCCACCCGGCTGTTTTAGGAATTCGGACTTTGAAACACCGGGACATTGCGATGGAAAGGTGGGCATCTTTGTTTAATCGCCTAATTGAATCTGTGGGACATACCTGCTTGATCGATCAGGGGTGATTCAATGCTGAGCCCCCCGTGGCAAAAAAAAAGCACAATACTTCCAGTGACCACCGTAGTAGGTAACCAGGGGAAACCATCCATGGTAACACCTATAGGTACGTAAGAACACTGAGGGGTTACCTGCTATAGTGGCTTGAGGAATTTGTAGGGGGTTCCTCCTCCCTGGAAGTTCCAACGTCATGGTGAACCTAGAGGTAAACATACCACAGGGTTGCCTACAGTGGCAACTGGGAACGTGGTATTTGGAGATCGGGGGTCCGAGGCTTTCCCTCTCAGAAGTCTTCGTGCCGCTGATACTCACTGGCGATCCCAAGGACGCGGTTCTGCCGCTTTTTTTGTTGAGGCGGGGGGAAGGGGGCCTTCTGAGAAAGGGGAAAGCATGGAAAGAAAAGCGATTTTCCCAAATATGCCTCCCCCTCTCTTTGGGGTGATTTTCTTGGGAACTGAACAGTTTTCTCAACATGGCGATTTGGTCTTTGGTGTGAGCGAATCGCCTAGGAGGGAGCGATCTTTTGGAAATACACGGGCTCGTACTCCTCGTACTCGTAGATTTCGGCCTCGTTTTCATCGATTTGCTCGAAATCACAGTCAAAGTGGGTCTCTCCAGTCCATTCGTGATCGCCTCCTCGATCATGTTCAGCCCGAAACCAGTTCTCGTCAACGACAAATTCGGTTGATCCGTCAAGGTAGTTGATGACTGTGCTTCGTCTCCTGCCCAGATCCTTAATTCTGACTGGGCACTCTTTCATTACACCTGCACAAGCTTAGGCCTTTTGCTCAATTGGGAAGATTAACCCAGTCAACAAGGGGAAACAGAGCAAACAAGATACTTTGTTCAACATTTGTGGCATGGATTTACAGGGAAAACAAGGGAAACGGTTTCACAGTTCCGTTTCGGACTTTATACTTTTTGGGGCTTGTCGCCATTTGTTTGGTGCTTGTTTTGTCCAATCCAATGCGAACGTCTCAGTGCGGGTACGCCAAAAAGGATGCCTGGCCCACTTTCCCAACAAGAGCAGGGGGACAAACCAATCCAAACCGCACATTAGGGGGGGTGTCTTTTTACGGTTTCCCTTTGTAACCGCAAAAGAAGGGGTATCCTCAAAAAAAACACACAGGATTACCTAAGCCGAAGCCAGGTAGCTTAGGTAGTTTTTGTTTTCCCCTTGGTGTGATGATATGCCCATCCCAATCAGGAGTTGTTGATCGGGTACCCTCCAGCTTCCACGTTTGTGGGAGGAAGTCTAGCCACTCGTTACCGGTTTCCCTCCATTTGCTTAAGAATATGTTTTTGTTGTTCCCTTGTTGGTTTCAAAAGGAATTCACTACTGGACATATTTTGGAAGCAGAGGGTTTCTTGTTTCTCCAATCGTGTGGCATCCTTTTGTGCCTTGTTTGTTGTATGGGTTCTCTAGAAGAATCAAGCCCAGAAAATGGTTGGTTTGGCCAAAATAAATGCCAGTGAATAAATGCCAGTGATTTTTTCCTGGGGCCTTAACCAACTGGAAGGAAATCATGGTTAACATTATTGTTCTTACTATTTGTAGGGAGATCATCAGAAACCAGGGTTTATCGTATGAGGAGCATTTATGGAAACTTGCCAAATTTTCCAGGATCCTTAACCAAATAGAGTTTGGTCCGTATATTGTTTTGCCCTTAGTATACCCCCTACACCCAATACCCGCTTTTTTCAGGGTATTGATGTCAACCCGGGGGCCTTAACCAAACGGAAGTTTCGTGCGAGGAGCTGGGCGGCCGCTTCTTCCTGGTGCCCATCGCTTCGGAGGCCGCCGCGGCGGCGCGGCGGCTCCAGGTGGAGGAGCAGACGCTGCTCGCCGAGGCGGCCGTGCGGCCGTGGACCAGCCAGTTGGTTTGTGCTTCTGTGTTTTCAGTGTTTTCCCGGGACGTGAAAAAAAAAGGTTTCGGGTTTGGTTACCATAGTGGTACGCCAAAAGCCATGATGGATCCTTAAAATGGATGCAATGGGAGCGGTGTTTCCAGGGCTTCTGGGAGGCCGGGCGTAGGTACCAGAAGGTTTATTCGGGTTTTGGAGGGAGCTTTAGGGAACCCCACCCCTTTTATCTGGAGCACGGATTCACGACTCGCCAGGTGCCTCTCTTCCTGTGCCCCGCGCTGGAGGCCTTGCAAGCCGGTGGGGCGCTTGCTTTCCATATGACAACGTATACCATGTGAAGTGGCCTGCATTGTTTCTGAGGCAGATTCGTGAGCATGCGTGAAAATAGTCACATTCTAATGGTCAGTGTGCTTCCTTTGCATTTACCGGTGGAATCTGGTTTGTTTTGCCAAGGAGATCTGGGGGCCCTGCCCTTTGGTTTGAACCAGATGTGAGACATGTCCAAAGCGAATCGACGTTTTGCCCCGACAATTCCCTGAACACGTTCCACCGCACCTTTTGATAGTTGAGGTGGACGGTTCCTTTGACTTGCCTGGACTCACTGCCCTTGTGACGATCGGGACTTCGGACCTACTCTGACTTTGGAGCTACCCTGACTTGGGCACGTCATTGAAGTGAGTTGCTTTTCGAAGTTTACAAAATATGGACCATACCCCAAATATCAGGGGATACCCCAAGTGCAATCCTTGGCGCTATTGGTGGGATGTGTCCGTTGGGCCGGAACTCACTCAATACTTGTAAACCACCCGAAGTGTGAGCTCAACATCGGCACATCCAATTGAAGTATACAAATATAGAACCCCCATTGGACCACAAATTTACCCTAAAACATGGGTCCCCAAGTGGGAATCAGTCCCCTAAAGTCCCCTTTAAGTACCAGCAACAACGGGAGCCTGTTTTGCTTGGGTACACCTGTGGTTTGGAAACTGAAGCCATCTGGGGGGGGTTCCTATCGTCGGACACGCCACTTTGGATTGGCTGCTTTGAGAATTGAACCCTTGGTTCTTGTTGGCAAACCACCAATCCGGACCACCAGTCGGAAGTCGGAGGGAAGCTGAACCTTCCTTGAAAAAAACAACAATCACCCCTCCTTCGGGTCCTTGTTCGGTTCTCTGAGCGCTGGATGTTTTTCAACACTGGAAATGCAAAACCATTGCCTCTAAACTGGGGGTGATATACATACATATTAATATATATGTATATATATATATATATATTTGGTTGAAGGCGCAACATCATACAACATCGGTTTGAAAGCAGCAATACCTCGACACCCTGGTTCTTGAAACACGCTGGGTCGCTAAACCTCCTTGAAAAAACCAAAGGCTGCTCCTTCGGTTCATCAAGCCATGGGGCTTAAAACCCAGAAGCATCCCCGCGCCCGCGTCCGTCGCTGCCAGGTGGAGCGGGAGGCGGAGGTGAGGGTTCCGACCTTCCTGCAGGAGAAGGATCTACTGGAGGCCATGCGACGGGCACGCGCCTTGGGATCAAACATGATGCGCCGAGGGAGGCATTTTTTATTTTTATTTTTCCGGGGGGGGGGGGAGGGGCACCCCAAGAATGGATGGCGGTGTCCTTTAACTGGTTTTGTTTTCTTGTTTCTGGGGGGGGGCCCACCCAAAACCATGGATGGTGGTGTCCTTTCATTCGGGCTTCACAGAAACCAACCAAGAAAGGGTACCCGAGAGAAAACTTCGAGGTAGTACATCTTTCAAAGGTAGTACATCGTTTAAAGGTAGTACATCTTTTCCGGCAGGTTTTAGATCTTTTAAAGGTTGTTTAGTTGGATTGTTCACCAAACCGCTTCCCCCCAATTGGCGGTGACCCCAATGGTTTGGAGGTGTGGAAGTGCTGCGGTTTCCTATGTACCCTCTGCAGAACCGGGCAATCCAACCACCAAGTAAGGGTTACCTGAAAAAATGCGGGATGTCTCCCACTTTCTGGTACCCCTGCTTAATTGATTTCTGGGTATCGCGTGAACGCGTCACTCAACATGGGAAGTAGGATTACAATGCCAATTGGTTTGAAGAACTTGGTTCCAAGTGCCCTCAACAAACAAAAACACACTCAAATACAAATATGTCCAGATTCCGCTTCATAGTCAAACTTAACATTCAATATCATTGCAGAGACTCAGACAGAAAAGGCCGCCACCCATTTTTGTTTGCGAAAAAAAGGGCACCCCAAGGCAGTGTTGCCTGAGATATCCACTTCTGTGATACCAATGGAAGGCCTTCCAAATCACGCGGTCTCCAAAATGTCCTGGTGTCAAATGCAAAAACCCACCAGTTTGGGAGCCCTAAAATTGGAGTCTCATTGACATCGGTGGCATTTTGGGATAGTTTGTCTAGACATAGTAGGCGGGCCTTACCGCTACCAACTCGCGAATCGAGGCGTGGAGGACGGAGAAGTGGTGGTCACCACTTTGCAGCGGGTGGCAGCGGACCTGTCCCAGAGCCTGGCTTCGAATTGCAAAAGACCACTCGGGGACCCTAATTTGCGTCGCTCTTTCTTCTTTTCAGTCGGTACTGCCCACGCGAAAACAAGGAAAATCATAGACTGTTGGTTGGGGAGATGGTTTGACTCAAAGGGTCAGAGCCAGAGAGTGCTGGCCTACCACCTGCGGGGTGACTTTGAGAATGCCAAAATCACTGGACCTGATTCATGGCGAGCTGAGCCACGATAAAAACATGGAGAAGTCAAGGATAGTAAGGGACAATCCGCCCAGATGCTCCAATTCGCTTCATTTTGGGCCCTCAAACCGCCAGGTTTTGAGACCCCAACACCCCAGGTGTCCAATGGAGGGTCTGGGTCTTGCATTGGAAGCCCCAGGAGCGTCTGGGCAGATAAGAAATAGGAGCATTCAACGTGCTTGCTATTGTTTGACCAGGTGTTGATTGTAAACTCAAAAGTCCTGCCATGTAATGGCAAGGGGCTGGGGGTAAAAACGACCTCGCATGAACTCTTGTTCTTGATCCACTTCTTATTTCAGGTTTTGGATCTCCCTGGGCTCTCAAAGTACCCATAAAAAATGGGGACACCATCAAGCATAAATATGCGTTGCAATAATTAATCAGTTTTTTACAGTTAGTTTGAGGGTTTAGGCATTGAACCACTTGCGTCAGCTCCTTTAAAGGTCCCTTTTTGGGGCAACCGCCTTGACTCCCAAAGACCCCGGGTAGTGGCCGCAGTAAAAAACCGCAAGGAAAGCCACCGGGCCCTCTACCGAAAGCAAGGAGTTCCAGAACTTCAAAGACTTGTTCGAAAAGTATTTCTTCGGGGCATTTTGCCAAGGGCTGCTAGGACTTTAACTCTTTGATCCAACTAAGGGGTTTTCCGTATTACACCACTAAGAGTTATTCACTTTTAGCAGGGGAGCAGAAAGCAACCGAGATTTTGATGGTAAACATCAAAAGTTTGTGTGCCCTTCTTTGCTCATGGCAGTGGCATCATTGTACATCTTTGGGCGCAGTAGGCCATGCTCTAAACACGTCATGCGGGGGCTTCTGCGGGAATTCCGCAAGCCTTGTTGTTGGAAGCGCGACTTACCTTGCAGCCAGCAAGGATAGCAAACAAAGGAAGATTAGGCAAGGGGGGCCTTGTGTATACGAGCTATCTCTGGGAATGCCTTGGTTTTTAATGTCTTTTTGTGTCAGGAGAACTTGCCTTTCCAGTTTTGAAGGATCAATCAGTACGTTTGCCTTACTTGGTTCTTGATGCTCAATCTGCTGTGGATACTTTCCGGGAACGTGCGCTCATCCACAATCTGAACCTGGTCCCTGAGGTTAAATTACTCAGTTGCCGACTTCAAAAGAGACTTCTGGACCCTTACCAGGGTCTGGCTTGAAATCATGTTGCATTTCGGTAAATATGGTCCAAAATCAAATGCATGGTTGCTGGCTGCCGGGCCAAAGCTGAATGAATTTGTTTGTGAAGGGCTGATCCAACGCCTTTGGCAACCCAACCATTGATCGCCTGTCATCCCCAGGTTCTGTGTCTCTTTGAGTTAGGCATGCCAGTGGATATGACAACACTTGGGCCCCACCCCTTCTGATGAGGGAACCAAAAGGACAGGACACTTGCCTCTTTTGTTTCCGTGCGGCGGGGGAAACCCCATGCTTGCTCCAATGTTCATTTGGCTTTGGGTCAAAACCAATGGTACCATTTTGGGCAGGTGAATTCACCGCCCATTTCAGTAAGGATTGGGATGTTCACTGGGGGTACGATTTGGATTTTGACGCATCCATTTTTGTCGGCTTCCGGTCGGAGGAACTCCGAGTCAGCAGCGGGGCAGCTGCTGGCGGTGTCTGACCTCAATGAGATCGGCCTGGGCAGGTGGTAGGACAGCTGGGGGTCAGCGGTTCGGCTTCGCCTTCGTTGGCTCCTCAGTCTCAGCTCCCAGAGGTGCCATTTACCCGTACTAGGTCCGCCCTTTTACCGTTGAACTTTTTTGGGGGAGGGCTCCCCTACTCAAATAGACAACAGGAAAAAGAGGTTGGTACCTTGATTTCAGCCTCTACTGGAGGACCTAGCATATCTTAGGTATCAGTCACCACCCTTTGAACAAGGAAAATGACTGGTGAACAGGACTGGGACTGGGATCTGAGCATTGTGGGCGGGGTTGGTCCCCATTTCAGGGAACCTCCCCTTAGGAGTCATGACAGGAGGCCTTTGGTAGAAGTGGTTGTAATTTCCACCTTGTCACGAGAGTCCTGAGTGATGCTCGGTAATGGCCAGGAGTCGCTATGGCCGACCCGGTTTCGCCCGAGTTTGTCTGTGGCAGCTGCAAAGAAGCCACGGACGAAAAAGAAGATACCACGGGCGCGTGGGGGAGCTGAGGCGAACATCTTTTTTATGCGCAAGCAGGCTTCAGCGATTTTGGGTCGTCGAGAAGGGGCCCTTTTTCGAGGGCCCCTCAGCGTATTTCCAAGGGGGTCTGTCTGCGTTGAAGGAGTCATAAGCGTTTTGATAAGTTGAACAATGCTTGGCCTATCTCATTGATTATATTAGGGGTCCCAGATCCGTGGTTTAGACCTTACCTCAATTTATCTCAAATTATCTCAAATTATCTTATGTTTGCATCTAATGTGAAGTTCTATTATTGCATCTTATTTTTGCATCTATCAGTATCCTATCAAGAAAGAGAGGGCAGTCCTCAACCCAGGCGCGCCCCCTATTTAACCTTGACGTGGACGAGATTCCTTGGGAGTTTCGTCTACACACGGACCCCAAAAAGCAACCCAACACCTCAAAAGCATAGTCATCAATACAGAAGTATATGTATGTATAGAAGTGAACCCTCAAACTACCAATAAAAAGGGAGTGAACCCCATGTTGGGGTCATAAGCTATTTTTAAGTAAGGGCTGGACTTCTAAACTCTGGGGTGGAAATACACCCTATGCAAGGAAACACGTTTTTTGATTTGATTTGTATGTTGGGGGCTTCGGTCCAAACCGTATTTCACAGGCCCTCAAGTGCTTGTACGGGCCCGCAAGTCAAGAAGGGTCTGGGGACTTTGCTGCATTTTGCCAAGGGCTGCCAGGACTTTAACTTTTTGATCCAAATGGGTTTTCCGCATTACACCACTAAGAGCTAACCTTTTTGAGCAGAGCAGAGAGCGACCAAGGGGACAAAGGAGTCTGTGAAGTGCGGATCGACATGCCGAGGTTCTTCTTCGCCTTCATCTTGCTGGGTGTCACTCAGTTGCCCAAAGCGCATCGACCTTTTCAACTTTGTGGATTTCCGTTTTGTTTTTGGTTTTTGTTTTTGGTTTTGGTTGTTGGACTTCTGTTTTTGGTTTTTGTTTTGTTTTTTGCGGTCCCAACAGGCGATCAGCTTGTATTTCCAGGTCCCAACTAGTTTTGAAGGGAATCTAATACTGGACATACTGTGGATGGTTGCGCGAAGTCCATTTCGCACCACCTAAGCTTCCCTGGAATGATGATTCCCCGGTTTTTTTTCCAACCAGCACTGGTTTCAACCATGATTTCCACCTGGTGCAGGATTTCGTCCATCTACAGTATTTGCTCATATTCTTCCTGTGGATGAACAAGCAACCCCACTGAGGTCTGCCTCTTCTGGAAATCTGCGATGTTTGCGGACCCGCAGAGCGCCGCTGAAATGCTCTTCTCACTGATGCCACTTGCTGCATTGCTCGGGGCTCGGGGATCGGAGCTGCGCATGTTTTGCTTCTACTTTCACCTGCTGAACAGGAACATGTTGCTGATTTTCCCCTGCTGGTTTTAAAAGGAATCGATCTCAGTACTGGAGACACGTGTTATTGGCTATTTCTTTTCTAGGGGAGGAACATGCACCTACTGTGGATGGACGAAATCCATTTCGCACCACGGTTCAAAAGCCCTGGTTTCTGATGATTGCCCTGTACATACCAACAAACGTTCTGGTTTCAACCATGGTTTTTTCAGGTGGTGCGAGAAGCGGATTTTGTCCATCCACAGTGAACTTCGAAGGATTGAGACAGATGCTGATGTCATGTTGCGGCGCTCAGTGGGCCCCCCCTTCTTTTCACCCAGCGTTCTCTTTGGAAGCCACCTATTTTGCAGAGCTTTGGCATTTTTTGAAGAGAAGGATCCCAGAAGAGAATGGAGAGGGTGCAGCTAGAACTGCTGGGCCGAAGTTTTGCAGATGTTTGTCACAATTTAATCGTGCGGAGGGTGAATCAACTGAGGAGCGCCCAAAAAAAACAGCATGGCCATTTGCAGGGTGGTTCTACTACCTAGTTTCATGTTAACCATGTTGGCCGAACCAGACGTTAATGGGTGTTGTGCGCTCAACTGAGCTGAGCTTAGGTCTCTCACACACACGTTGAAGCGGCCAAAGTCGGGGCCAAATCTTCGGGATTCGGGATGCCAGACTTCCGGCGTTCCTAAAGTTGATCAAAACCTTTGCCAGAAACATGACTTACCTCTTAAAAACACAACTCTTCAACTTTTTGGGTAACATGGGCTATATAGTAAAAGATTAACTTCCCCAGGGCTTGGAGTTTTAAGGGATAAGATGAATTGAATTGTTGTGTTTGCTTGCCTGGGGCCAGACAACAAATCTGTCTGGTGCCGATCAGGTCGTGTGTGTGTGTTGGTTCCGGTACCTTTTGGCATGTCTTGGCCATTTCTTGGAGGGGAGACCTTTCCTTCGATTCGGGGTCTTATCTTTTTGGATGGCGACCCGACTTTTGTCGTTCGCCTGGCCCGACTTCAAACCAAAGTCTTCCATTTGCTTGAGATTTCTTTTGTTTTTAAGAGAATCCCTTGTTGGTTTTAATTGGAACTTATCGCTACTGGAATCATTTTTATTTTTTCCGGTCTTAACCAAGAATGGCCTCGGAGTTCAAGCCTTCGGCTCCGTGGCCTCCCATTCCCCGCAGAAGTGGCCTCGCATTGGCCGAGGAACGGGGACTCCATCCACGACGCTTTCAAGGAAGTCCGGTCGGTGGGCGGAATCCTGCTGCAGGTGAGCTTGGACGGGGGGTTAGAAGGGCAGGTCCTAGATAGCCAAGTTGCTGCTTTGTTCAGTCACTGTTGCTGGTTTTTGGGGTAAAGTTCATGGAAAAAGGCAGCAACTGGCGATCCAGGGTAGTTTTTTCAGTCCTATCCTGAAGTTGTACCCCCGAAAGCTCCAATGTCCGCTTGTTTCGGGGCAGTTGTTTGGAAAGCCGATGGGTTTTGCTTGTAAATTCCGATGCATTGTTTAGTAGAGGGTTGACATCATAATGCCTCAAACAAGTGGGCATATGGAGTTGCGGCGGTAGACCAACCAATGCAAGGGCATGTTTCCCGGGTTGCCTTGGAGAACAAGGAATCTCCATGCAGCGGTGCGGCATCCATCTATTTTCTCCGCGTTCCGGGGTTCCCCCAAAGTCAGTTGCTGCATTTGCGACAAGGGAACGGGGAATAGTGCCAATGTGGCAATTGTTCACTGGTTGGTGGGAAAAGGGTTCGGTCAAAGCCGTTAGACAAATCAGCAACCATTCTCGAAGGTCAACAAACAGTTGGCCCCAGCTGTTCGGGGGCGCCCGTTGTTTAAAGACCGTTTTTTTGTTGGTTCCCTGAAAATATCAAACCTTGGCCTCGAACATGTGCTCCCTTTTAGGGTCACAGAGAGTTAATAGCCAACCCGCAACAAAATGCCTCATGTCTCAGAGCCAAAAGTCAGAAGTTCCGTGTGAATTAACACATAACAGCGTCCGGCTGAAGGGGACACATATCCCGTGTTTTCATATATCCTAGTGACATATGCACGACAACTTGCATGTACAAGTTGGAACGGCCTTGAAGGCGCAACCTTTTTTTGAAAACATCGGTGAGCTTTGCCTGGTTTTGGTAAGACATAGATGCATTCCACTGCTATAGATGGGTTGGCCAGGGAAATAGATGGATTCATTGTTTTTTGTGGGTTTGCCAGACAAATAGAAGGATTTTACTGGTTTAGAAGGGGTGTATGGGTTTCCCATTTACCAGATCGATTTGTTGAACCAAAAGAAGTAAGGGCCGAGAAGCGCCTAAGAGACTCTGACTGAGGCCTGTTTAGATGATTTCCCACCACTTCAAAGGGAGTCTCCCAGCGCAAAGTGGAGCTGGTGGCATACTGCTCAGCCGACACTTTGCCTTAGTTGCCCAAAGCCGACCTTTTTGACCTTTGGTTCTCCAGTGTTGGTCCATTTTTCGTCATGGCCCCAACAGGTTAACCTTTCGTTTCCAGTCCTTTGGGCAACTGAGTTGCAGTTCCACTCAGAACCCGAGTGTTGTTTATCGATCTCGGGGTACTGGACCCAAAATGCCAAACTGATAGATGTAAACCGGAGCAGTCGGAGTGCCATCAACAATAGCGAGAAAGTAAGGGGTTTCTTCGAACCCCACGTTTTGTCGACCATGTCTTTTTCGTGTTTTTCTCCAGTTGGCGGAATCAAGAGCTTAGGGGTTCGACCATGTCTTTTCCTTGTTTTGTTTTTTCCAGTTGGTGTAACCAAGAGGTTTTTGGGTCAGCTGATGATTTTTGCCTCAGGCCTACTTGTACCTCTTCGTGTTTCTGGCCATTTACGTGCCCTGGCCGAAGCGCGACGGGCCTGGCTCAAATGTAGCCCGTGGTTTGGGACGGCCAAAGGTGAATTCTCACTCCCCGAGTTCCTGGAGCTTTCCGCTTTAGCTTTCAATGGAAGACCCGAAGCATTAGACACCCCGGGAATGGGTGGTTGGGACCCGGTCTCAAAACCTGGCCGTAGGGCCCTAAATACCTCGGGAGCCTTTGGACACCAATTTTGATGTCCACCCCATCAAAATGCATGCGGTGAGCTTGTAAGTGGGTAGCCGCAAGATTGATTCCTCACACGTTTGTTTTCACCCATTCCTTAGTGTTTTTGGGGGCATGTAGTTTTATCGCAACATGTTTCAACGCCACGGCCAATGCGCCATTTGGCTCAAGCTTTTCACCGCGTCGGACTCCGCCGCCATAACGGCATCGGCTGCCTACGGCGCCGCTACTCATCTCGGTCTTGCAAAAGATCGGGCTGAGGTTCGCGGCGGTAGGCACGTTCTTTGGTTGTGGGTCGGTTGTTTGTCTGGTGGTGTGCGCTCTGTTGCTGCTGCTCCGCTTTTGCTTGGTTAATTGCTTTGCTCGCTTGCTTGCTGCGCTCGCCTGGTTGGCTGCGCTGGTCCCCTTTCCTGTTTGGGTTTTGCGGTTAAACAGGATTCCCCGTTTGTTATCTGTGTGGTTCATTGCCAGCCGAGGGCACCACTTTGCCCTTGGGACTGGGGGGCTTAAACTGTCTCTTCTTGTTGGTGGGTTAGGGCCTGTTTATTCTCTCCCGAAATACTGTTTCAAACCCTTTCGCAGGTTATCAGCCGTAGGATTCGTCCTCGGTTGGCACCGCGAACCCCATTTAATAACAACCCTGCAGGCGCCGTTTTCCATAGGCTACTGTAGGACTCATGGCGGGAATCACCGAGGATGGACCTCATGTGGTGACCGATGAGTGGGTTCTCGGCCAGGCCGGAATCTTGGACGTTGTGAATGACGACCAAGTGCCCGGACAGCCGATGTTTTCCGGTCCTGACTTTTTGTCGGACCACACTTTTTCAGAAGCAATGCCTTCAGGAAGGTCCAGTGCTACTCGCACTGATGACCTATCGTCTAATGCCTCAAGAGCTAATCGCTCTCAGGGTCGTGGGGCTAATCGTCCTGACCATGATGATTCCGTCTCAGGACGTGATGATGACGAGCCCGGTATTGCACCTGGAGCTCAATCCTCATCTTTCCCGGAGCTGATGAATATTGGTCAGTCCGAGTTTCGTGACTCTCGAAGTAGCAGTAGACCTGTGCCAACCAGTAGCATAGCTTTTCAAGTGCTCGGTAATCCCGAACCTGGTACATCCAGTGGAGTTGCATTTGATGTTCATCTGCCGACCGAATCCGGTGGGCTCGATTGGAGAGCCTCATGGCCCAACGACGGAAACATTTTTGGTATGGATTTTGCCGCATGGATGCCAGGGCCACCCGCCCCGTCATCTTTCCCGCAATTCCAAAGCCCAAAACGGGCTGCTGGAAGCGATGAATTCATGCTACCTTTGTCGATTGAGAATCTCAATCCTGACGTGGCCAGCCGTAACGTCAGGCCAAGGCCGTCGGTAAACCCGACCATGAGGAACATGTCCCCTCCCCCAGGACTTTCAGGATTTGAGAGCCCTAGGGAGCGTAATATCGTAGATAGATTGGATTTGCATCCCAGTCCAACCCCAAGCAAACGATCAAGGTCAAATTCGACTGGATCGCATAGGGCAAGGGGGATGGATCGGGAAACTGCCCACAGGGGTAACCCCAGTACGCGGGACTCAGGACGCGGTCGATCAGGTGACCCAGCGTCGATCATTGGTAGAGACCCGTTAAACGCGGACACACTCGTTAACGTGCTTGATGGGATCGAAGCATTCCAGGAGGAATTTAATAGGTCAAGTGGCTTGAACGCGCAAGGTGTTCGCCCTACGCCCAACGCGGCTTCCATTTTTGCCCTGGACAACATGGACGGAGCTAATGTTCCGATAGAATCTGAGTCCATGATGGCATCAAGTTCCAATCACAACAACACCGTCAGCAGCGCCACCGATGTTGAATCAATGTCTGAGTCTAGAGCGTCCAATGCGACTGATTTGCATGACGTTGTCATTGCCGATATGAAGCCTGAAGTTCCTATGCGGACTGATAGGCCGGTAGTTCCCAAATTGTTTGTGACAAAGGGTCTAGGCATGCCACAGCCATCAGCGGTTCGTGATGCCAGAAGATCTGCACCGTATCAGAGTCAGTCTCCGAATCGGAGCGAATTCCCACGGCCATCAACGGCAGTACAAGATGATTTCAGGACACCTCCGAGGTCTAATCCGATCATGGTTGATTTGTCCACTCCTCGAGATCGCGGATCAGGATTTGGTCCTGCGAGTGAGGAGCAACCCAACGAGGTTGCTGATCTTGTAACAGCCCTTGAAAGAGGGAGAGTGGACTCTTCGGTAAGTGCGATCATTCATCGCCTGGTTGCTAAGGTCGAAGACCTTGGGCGTAGGAATGATAGAAGTGATCAATGCATCAAGCAGCTCTCCACTGAGGTTAACTCGTGGAGGGCCAAATACGACCAATGCGTCCATGTGAGTAGCACGTGTACGCAGGCTGCGAACGCGGCCATGCAGCTGTCACAAGGGACTAAGGACATCGTGACCGAGCTTGGCCAACGCGTCAAGATCGTTTCCAATCGCATGATAAGCATAGGCGATGCCCTAAATGAGCGAGCCAGCTATGATGATGTTGCTCGCTCCATCACCCAGGTTCAAACTGTTTTTGAATCTCTTTCTGATCGAGTAACCGGGCTTATAGCTCGTGTTGATATGATCGAGAGATCTCTAGTGGAGAGCCAATCCAACCATCCTGCGATTGGTGGAGTAAACCTCAAAATCGAGGACCTGTCCACTAGGGTATGTCAGATTGATAGGATGATGCAAGATGTCGAACAACGCTGGACCAATAATAGGGACGGCATAAAGTGGGTTAAAGACCAACTTTATGAGACACAAGCCAACCTTGAGATAAAGTCAAGGGACTGCAAATCCTACACGGACAAGCAAAATACTCATAACATGGCCGTTTCGACTACGCTCAACAGTAAGCTCGAGCAAATGCTCGAGGTGCTGGGTAATACGGCCCAGAGAATTAACTCCCTCGAGTCAAGGCACTCGAACCAGGCCTCAAGTAGTGGATTGAACGATCGCACAGGAGGAAGGCGTGCCGCGTCCCGTACTCCGGATAAGCGGCCACCTCCACCTGGCCCTCCTGATGATGATCCTCCACCACCTCCTCCTCCAGATTGGCAAAGCCCAGGAGGAGGGGGGAAGAAGAGTGCCGCCGGTGGGAACCCTGGCGACCCTGGTAAACCCAGGTGTAAATACGTAGGTGATGGATATAATCATCTCATGGCTGAGTTTCACTGCAAGGGATGCAGAGGTGATATTTGTGAGTATTGTTTCTCGTTCAAAGAGAACTTGTGTGAAGAATGTTCCCGTAACGGACCCCGATGCGGTGTCTGTAGGGAGAGCTCGTTCCTGACCAAGGGAATTGAGTGTCAGTTTTGTAGGACCTACTACTGCACCAGACATTCTGCTGGGCAGGATGACTACAGGAGATTTGGATTTGTCCAGGGTCCCTGTTGTCTTGCGTGCCTTAGGGACGAAACTAGGAGAAGAAGGGATCCCGATGGTAACCGTGTCAGGAATAGATCTCCTGGAGGCGCGCCTGAGACGAACCCGACGCGGTCGTACTCGCCGCCTCTGCGGCCACCCGTTGACAGATTCCGTGACACTCCCACTGGGGGTCAACCCAACGCGGCTGACCTTCAGAGCCCTCCGAGGGCTACGCAACCCGTGCCCCTGGATAAACGAGAAACCGGATATTATCCAGGATTTGATCCCAACGGTACGAGGCCGAAGGATCCTTCAGGCCTTGAGCCGCCGACCATGCGTGGCCCCGATCCTCCTGAAAAGAACTGTCGGATGTGTGATCGGGATATTCCTGACCCCAGCAAAATTGGGGAATGTAAGATATGCATGAAAAGGGCATGTGAGATTTGCATTCCGAAGGCTACTCGCCTTTGTCCTGTATGTGCACTGTCAATCGGTAGTTCTCAGGTTCCACAGCATCTTTTCGGGACTGGTGGCGGCGGATACAGTAGCCACCATGATCCGAACTGTACAGCTGCGACTAAGTGCATTCCCATAGACCTCCCGCCAGAGCCCGACGCGGCTGGGCTGAGGGTATGGATAGCCAATATGAAGGAAGCTGTTAGCAATGCCTACAGCTATGATGGACTCTACGTCATCAATTGGCTAACTGAAGTCGAGAAGGCAAAGACCTTTGATGAACTGGATGGGGAATGTAAATACCACATCCTTGAAGCCAGGTTCAATGCAGCCATTCGGAAGTGCATCAAGACTGTTGCAATTATCGATAAGATTAATCGTCTCACCGAAGCCGCTCAACGCTCCAACAATCGCATCAAGAGTAGGCAGATCCTGTGGCTCTTATACGACCACTTAAGGACTGCAAATATCGGAGAGCAATCATTCAGGATAATTGAGCTCTCAAACTTGCGATGCAGTGTTTCATCTTTCTATACTGAAGAGGAGCGACTTGAAAGGTTCATCGCGAAGTGGGATCACATCCTTGCGGGTCTCGATGAACCGCTGACCGAGCAGGTAAAGCGGTCGCTATTCAGTGAGAAGGTTAGACACCTCAACTGTTTGGCTCATGATATCAGGGAATGGGATAGGAACATATCCAACCCTGATGTTTGTAGCTATGAATGGCTTCGTGCTCGTTGTAAGAACGAAATTGACCGCTGGAGGGTTCGTAAGAATCAGGTCAATATGCACAAAGACTTTTACGAACGATCTCAGTCCAGGGACAGAGCCCAGAAACCTGGTGCTCCTGGTCCTCCCGTCAGGAGACGATCTCCGTTTGGAGATTCCCATAGGCCTAATCGGCCTCCTAGTGATCCAAGGAAGAGGACCGGTAATACCCCAAGTCCTCATCGAAGGGACAAGTACTCTCCCAGGAATCGGGAGCAGGACAAGCGGCGTACGCCTAGCCCTAGGGGCGAACCCCCAAGGAGGCCCAGATCTACGTCGCCCGGTGCTCCTGCGATTGATGCGTGCAGGGACTTCGCGCGTGGATACTGTTCGCGCGGACAAGAGTGCAAATTCGCACACACAAGAACTGGGAGTTCCGATGCGAAACGCAAGGAGCGTCCTCCCCTGATTCCAGGGTATTGCGCCCAATGGGTTTCCTATGGAAAGTGCATGAGGGATAAGTGTGATTACAAGCATGCAAAGCCACCTGAGCATTTGCTGAAAGAAGCGAAGCAACACACTGCGGCCCCAGCGACCGAGTCTGCCGATGCGCAACCCGAGTCTGCTGAACCTACTACCACTGCTGACGACAGGACATATAGTCCTGCCCCTGATTTGTCAGCGGGTTTTTGAGAGGGGCGGGC